CTAATGTTGATGTATATCCATGATTTAATACTGAAATGTTATTACTGTTTTGATGATAAAAAAAATGAAAATATATCCCAAGCAGATGACATCGTGGTTGAAATGCACAGCTGTGAAAACATCTGCTTGAGTACATTTAGAAAAACGATTCTGTTTCTTTCCCTTCGGGCATTACTTTGTTATCAGGAAGCCATCAGACATATCAAAATGAGTAGAACATTTTCAAAAACTATTTTTGAGTCTTTTCTGAATTGAAATTCTCATATAAAATGATTTATAGTCAAGTTTAAAGTTAAGTATTAAATCTCCTTGCTTGACAGATATTTGGAAAGAAAAGAAACTAATGGGAAATATTTTTGGAGGAGAAAATAATATATATTTTTAGGGTAACAGTAATACATCATCTGGAAAACAGAGCCCTTAGGTTTCTTGTTTCTTAAGGACTGGGTTTTGCATTTCATTCTTATGAAGTGTCGTCATCTCTTCTTTTCTGGGAATTTTAGGTAGGAGTAGAGTCTCAGGAGCACAAGATACATATTGAATATCTTAAGTCAATATTTCAGGGTGAAAGCTGATGCAAGAAAAAAACCCTGAATTTATTAGGTTGTAGCTTTTTGTAAGGAAATAAGAATGCAAAGTGTCCCATGATCAATAAAACAGACAACCTGGGGTTGATGTTTGCAGCGATAACATTCAAATGAAGATCCACAGTATGTCTGACCCACTAAAACATCTTACTCCAGAGGACAGGCACAACGAACATATCTGACAGGAATATTTGAGGCTGAAAGTTGATTTTTTCCAGATATTAAAATTAACATAATATTCATGACTATCAGGATTAACACTCAGGCATGAGGTATTTTAGTCAATCTAAAAAAAAATTCTTCCAATCTGAAAAATTCTGATGCATGAAATATTTGGAAATAAAATACGTTAATGTGTAGGTTACCTGGAAACCACAGAGCTGGCAGATCTAAGTATTTGGAATGATTCCAACTATGGAAGTTAAGAAGACGAACAAATTGTCTCTGATAGCAATGACTGAGTTTTGGGGCAAGATATGGTCAAAATTAGATGGGGGAAGCCTACGAGGTATTTCTCCTTTGTTTCTAGTAGCAACACCAATGAAGGAAGAGATGCAGGGGGCCAGAGTGGTGGGGGGAGATAAATGATGGTTTCATAAACAATGAACAGTCTGTTTAAGGAGATGTGGATTAATGTACAGCATAGATAATATAGTCAATAATATTGGAATAACTGTGTCTGATGACAGTCTAGACGGTGACCAGATTATTATGGTGATCATTTTGTAATGCATAAAAATATTGAATCACTATGTTGTACACCTGAAACTAATAGAATGTTGTGTGTCAATTATAACGCAATAAAAAGTAAGATGGGAAAACTGAGGTGTATTTCAGAAAGATTTCTGAGAAAAGAAGGGTAGAATTTTTTTAAAAATAAATTTTATTTATTTATGGCTGAGTTGGGTCTTTGTTGCTGCACGTGGGCTTTCTCTAGTTGCGGTGAGCAGGGGCTACTCTTCGTTGCGGTGCGTGGGCTTCTCACTGCAGTGGCTTCTCTTGTTGTGGAGCATGGGCTCTAGGTGTGCAGGCTTCAGTAGTTGTGGCACGTGGGCTCAGTAGTTGTGGCACACGGGCTTAGCTGCTCCACAGCATGTGGGATCGTCCCGGACCATGGCTCGATCCCATGTCCCCTACATCGGCAGGTGGATTCTTAACCACTGCACCATCAGGGAAGCCCAAGAAGGTTAGAATTTTAAAATATGGGTGCACTGTATGTTCATTAAATCAAACCCATTGTACTGAACAACATTCTCTAATTATGCTGACTGAGATATGAATGAATGAATGAATGAATGAAGTAAAATGAGAACGTAGGACATTTTCTCATTACTTCTTATGGTGGCACAGCTCTGCATAGCACTGCCTTATGTGGATGGGCTGGGTTCAGTCAGCTACTCTCCGGTGTGCGCGTATGTGCAGAAATTTATTTTCACACAGTTCTGGAGTCCAGAAGTCTGAAATCAAGGTCAAGGTTAGGCTCCCTCTGGAAAACCCCTACGGAGACTCCTTCCTGGCTCCTTCCAGCTTCTGGTGACTGCAGGGGTCACTTGGCTGTGGTCACACGATCCAATCTCTGCCTCTGTTTTCACCTTCTTCTTTCTTTGTGTGCCTTCTTTTCTGTGTCTTATAAGGACACTCATTAGATTTAGGGCCCAGCCAGATAATCCAAGATGATTTCACCTTGAGATCCTTGACTTGACTACATCTGCAAAGATCCTTTTTCCAAAAAAAGTCACAACCACACATTCTGGGGATTGGGACATGGACATATCTGTTCACCCTGCTATACTGGTTATTATAAATAATGCTAAAGGAATAACCTTCCACATGTGGTTTTATATATTTGTCTAGGTATATCTTCAGAGTAGATTCTTAGAAGTAGGATTTGTGTCAAAGAGCAAGTTTCTATAATTTGGCCAAATTCTCCCCCATAGGAGTTGTACTATTTTACACTCCTATTAGCTGTCTTTCTCTACAGCTTTGCTACCAGAGTGTGTTGTCAAATCATGTTTTTGTTTTTGTTTTTGCAAATCCAAATCGCATTTCAGGGTAGTCTTAATTTACATTGTAAGTTTTTAACTCTTGATTTCATTATCTGTATTTATTGATGACAGCAGGACACTTTTTCAACAGTACTCAAGTGTCTACAAAATACTTGGCACTCTGAACCTCCAGGGATAAAAGTCGATTGCAAAGCAAATGATGTTCTCAAGCAGTTCACAGTCTAGCAGGAATGATTTTGCAGAGCAACAGAGAATAAGAAGTGTTTTTATTTAGTTTTATTTCACATGGAATATATATACATGGTGGGTGGGTGAAAAACCTCAAAATAATAACTTATGTTTCTTGATTTTTTTAGAGAAGACCTGGAGTTCTACATTTTCATCAGTGAGTAAAGGCTAGATACGATGGATGAGATGAACCTGTATGCATGAATGCCTATTTCTGTTACTACCAAGTTTTGACCATGTCATGTGTTCACTGAACACTGTTGTTTATCTCTTCATTTATCTAGCTGCTCTGCCTCTCAACTAGATTGGAAGCTTTGGAGGTAAGGAGGCTGCATCTTATACAGCTTTTTATCCCCACGGTTTAGACTCATGCCTTGCACATAGCAGGTGCTCAACAACTGTTTGACTTTGATGATAGGTTGACCTGCGATAGATAAATTGAATTCCCTAAGACAAGTGCATCCTATTTTTTTCCATCAATGCAATGAAAGTTATCTTCCGCTAAAATAATGGTGCGGTGAATATTGTGACTTACTATGTGTAGCCAGGTACAGGCTAAATTTCTGCAACAAAGACACCCAGAATGCTTTGACTTAAGAGAGAAGGTTATTTCACTCTTGCAACAGTCTTGGAGGGTTTGTGGTCCTGATGGAGAGGTCATCCGGGGACCCAGGCTGGTAGGGCAGTTCTGTCATCCTGAGTGTGGGGCTTCCATCTCTGGGTCTGAGATTCATCCATGTCATTGGGTTTATTGGTTGTCTATTCCTTTTTACTGCTGAGTAACATTCCTTTGTATGAATATATCCCAGTTCTATCAATGCTATTTGATAAGTTGAAAAATAGAGGATCTAACAACCAAGAGATATTTTTTGCATGCCTGGATTAAATATGTTGGATTATTTTATCCCATTTTATTTAACAAACTTTTATTGAGGGCTTTGAGGTCAAATACAGTGCCCAGTGATGAGGCTAGAAGGCTGTGTAAATCGCTGGCTCTTCCCCCAAGTTACAGTTTAGCCGAATGAGGAAAAGACAGCTGTGCTGTCCCAATTTGATGGAGATCACGTGAGTTTAAACAGCCTGCTTAAGTGTTTGCTAAAATGTCAAAATTTGAAGCATCAAAGGATCCAGATGCCAATAAATAACCCTGCAGATCTCCAGACCATCTTCCATCTCAAAGTCTTGCCTCAGGTTACAGGCACCTGGCCTTAAAAAGCATCCCAGCCTGAGAGTAAGGTCCCTCAGGTTCTATTTCTGGTTCTGCTACTGTATTGCTAGGTGGCCTTGCACAACACAGAGAACGTGCACTTCCTACAAAGCAAGAGGCAAGACGTTGAGGAACCTGCCAGTGAGGCACTCTCATATCCCAAGTGAAGACGGGTCCCAGGAACCCAGGGGAGTGGGGCTGGCCTCCTCTCCCAGAGCCTAGGCATGCCCTTCCCTACTGCCAAAGCCATTCATTTTAGTGTGTAATTGGAGCTCCGATTTTGGTATGATCAACGGGATTTCCACTCGCTCCCTCACTCCCTGTTGTGAGTTTCTGTGGTTCACGTTGCACTAGAGGGAACTGGGTGGGCGCAAAGGCCGGAGACTACAGATACAGAAGCCTTGTGCCTCCTGGGGTAGGCGGCGGGCGGATGCTGCCCGGTGACTGGGACCCTGGAAATGTGGTCTCAGGGTCTCGCCTCCTGGAGAACTACCCTTCCCAGGAGCACTTGCGGCCCACGGAGGGGTGGAGAGCGGGCACGTGCTCAGAGCCGGCCCACTGACTCTCATCGCGCCGAAAGCGCGCCAGCCTGATTGGAGGGCTCTGTCGCGGTGCATCCCGGGACTTGGAGTACAGCGTGTGCGCGGGGCCCGCTTCTTTGTGATTCGCGGCGCCTCCTCGGAGCCCGGGCGCGCCCCCGCGAGGCGGGTTCCGACGACGCGCGCGTGCGCTGCGCCCAGGGGCCGGACGGCACCTCCCGTGGGGCGGGGCGGTGGGTTCAGCGTCGACACCGCCTTCCTGCTCCGCCCCTCGCCGGCCAGGCCCGCCCCTCCTTCCTGGAGCCACAGCCGAAGCGGCGGCGGGCGGCGGCGGGCGGCCCGGGAGACACGCGCTGGCCTGACCCTATGCGGTGACTCGCGCGGCGCAGGCGCCTCCTGCCCCGCCGGCGGGGCACGGGCTCCCCGCGGCGGGATGTTCTCCCGAAGGAGCCACGGGGATGTGAAGAAGTCCACGCAGAAGGTGCTGGACCCCAAGAAGGACGTGCTGACCCGCGTGAAGCACCTGCGGGCGCTGCTGGGTGAGGCGCGGCGCGGGCGGGGGTCGGGGCGGGATGCCGGGGCGGGGGGCGCAGACCCTATGCCCGGGCCCCGGCGTTGTTCCCGGGAAGCGGGCAGCCTGGCCCGCGGGCTTGCCTGTCGCCCTCTAGTGTAAACTTACCGCAGATTCTCGTCGCGTGGCCTCGGGGCCGGGCGCGGCCGGGACGGTCCCCTCCCCAGCAAACCCTGGACGCCCGGGGGTCCTCTCACGCACACATCGAACTGTCATCTTCCCTCCCAGTTTTTAATTTTTATTTTTAAGTCCGAGACCCTAAGTAGACTGAGACCTCAAGTGGTCCCAGCACGGACTTAATTGAACTGTCATCTCCTCCTCCCCCCCACTTTAATTTTATTTTTACTTTTGAGTCCGATCTCCGAACAGACTGAGCCCCCAAGTGGCCCCGGGATAAATTTAAGTGCCGTCTCTCTTCGCATGGGTCTGGCTGCTTCATTTTCTTTGTGTTTTTGGTGTGAAGGGGGCTCCTCGTGTCTGCTTGGAGGGAGGGGTGACTTTCCTGGGTTCAAGGAGGCTGCTTCTCCTTTATTGTCAGGATGACACTGATGGTTCTGTGCCTTCTTCCGTTTTTATGAGCCCGCTGGGTGGAGCTTCTGCAGAGCCCAGGTCGGCCAGCACTAGACCTGGGATGAAACTCGCCCCTGTGGGTGTGAAGTGTTCCCAAGGCTTCCTGTCTCCTGCCACCTGTGATCTGTAGCTGGTTTGCTATGCTGTTTTGTTTTCTCTTCTTACCTCCTTAGTCTTAACTTGTGTTTAAGGTGGAAACACCTTTGCTGTCTATAGACAGACTTGTCTTTGTGTTATTTGCGGGCTGAGAAAAAGATAGTTTATGTTTCTTCTAGATGTCTTTTTTTTATTCTTAAAATGAGCAAAATCACCTGATGTAGGGCACAAAGTCTTAATTTGTCTGTCACTTGAGGAAATATGGTATAACAGAATTCATCATATAGGTGAGAATTTTAAATAAAGATCTTGTTCATGAGATTAAAATTTGCAAATGATTTCTATTTATACTCTGTGAAGTACCTCTAAGGAAAACAACAAATCCACACACCTGGTTTTGCCAAGTGAGGTTTTTTACATTCTCGGATTCCTTGAGATTCCGCCCGTCTGGGTCAGCTTGGAATGAAATGTAAATTAAGTACTGTTAAGAGGGATTAGTTTTCAAGACTTTTGAAAGTGAAATTCGGTGTTCTTGGTAAACTGAACTTTCTACTTCCTGTACTAAAATACCAGGAGCACACAGGACGCATTGTGTGAGGTTCTTAGTAGTGACTGATTAACACCTCCTGCAGGGACATTTTTGATAAAGGAGAGTAGAGTGGTATTTTAAAGCAGTTGATACTTGGGGACTTTTTCTGTGGTAGAGAGCTTGAACTTTTGTTCTGTCCAAGTCTACGGGATTAAGCTGGCTACATTTTGCAAAGGCAGACGCAATTAAACCTAGATGTTCGTTTTCTTAGAGACACACGGTACATTGTTACTGTTCTGAGAAAGTAGTTAGTTTTCAAGGCTCTGTGGTTTCAGTTGTAGATGTGTGTCTTATTTTGAGGAACTTTCTTTTGTCCTTTCATTGAGCTATCTGACCTCAGTTTTGCAGCGTGGAAAGGCTCTGTGATATTTCCTTATGTATGTTGGTTTTTGTTGATGCATCGCTGGTGGACTGGCCCAGTTTACTGCATTTATTACTGTAATCTTATCTGTAGGTACTAGATTTTTGTAAATGTGTCTGAGGAGTTCTAGTTCATAATGTTTCATGTAAACTTTCACTTACGACTGTGGTTGAAAGGCTTTAAAGAAAAATAGTACAGCAACGTACTAGTCCCACCACGTCGTATATCCTACTGGTTTGCTACTTTAAGGAAAAGTCTACTAGGAAAATAGGATTTAGAAACTAGATCAAGAAACTATTTGAATTGGGGTTGACATATACACACTACTATAGGTAGAATAGATAACTAATGAGGTATAGCACAGGGAACTCTACTCAATACTCTGGAATGACTTATATGGGAAAAGAATCTAAAAAAGGGGGGATATAGGTATATGTATATGTATAACTGATTCATTTTGCTGTACAGCAGAAACTAACACAACATTGTAAATCAACCATACTCCAATAAAAATTAAAAAGAAAAAGAGACCAGATTTGTGGTTACCAGAGGCAGGGTGTGGGGGGATAATTGGATGAAGTTAGTCAAAAGGTACACACTTCCAGTTATAAAATAAATAAGTACTAGGAATGTAATGTACAGCATGGTAACTGTAATTAACGCTCCTGTATGTTGCATATGGAAGTTGTTAAAAGAGTAAATCCTAAGCATTCTCATCCCAAAGAAAAACATTTTGTTTCCTATTTCATTCGTTTTGTATCTATACGAGATGATGGATGTTCACTAAACTTTCTGTGATAATCATTTCATGGTGTATGTAAGTGAAATCATTATGCTGTGCACCTTGAACTTATACAGTGCTACATGTCAGTTATGTCTCCATAAAACTGGGAGAAAAAAAAAGTATATTTGCAAAAAAAAAAAGAAACTATTTGAAGGAAATGAATAGAAATTATTATTGTAATTTTATTTGTATATTTAGATAATACTCTTGCTTTTCATATATTTTCCAGTGATAATAACGATGTTATTTTTACATACAAAGTTAATAGCACTTGACCTGGATTTGTAGCCTGCAGCTGCATGACTTTGGACCAATTACTCGGCCTGTCTTTGAACCTCAGTTTCTTTACTCTGTAAATGGGTATGGTGATGTCTGCCTCATAAAGGTTATTGTGAGTGTGATGTATAAGCTACTGCAGCTTGGAGTAGACATGTAACAGTTTCCTCTGTCATTACTGTTTTCCTGTCGTTAGTAGGATAGGACAAGCGTTTTGATAGGTTGTCCCTTCTCCTTTCTTATTTTAATAATTGTGATGGATTTGCTCCCTCTTCATAAAAATTAGTCTGTATTTAAGACAGCTGGCTGAGAAAGATACCGTTAGCTGTGAAAAGTAGAGTATTTCTTCATATCATGGTAATGACTCCAGTTAGAACTTGCTTAGCTACTTTGACCTGCCTATATATTGTAGATTGGCCTGGTATTATTAACTTTATTTTATTTTAATTTAATTTAATTTAATTTTTTTGCGGTACGCGGACCTCTCACTGTTGTGGTCTCTCCCGTTGCGGAGCACAGGCTCAGTGGCCATGGCTCACGGGCCCAGCCGCTCCGCAGCATGTGGGATCTTCCCGGACCGGGGCATGAACCCGTGTCCCCTGCCTCAGCAGGCGGACTCTCAACCACTGTGCCACCAGGGAAGCCCTTAACTTTATTTTAAAGGGGGAGGGGAAACTGAGACACAGGCAGGGCTTACTGGGGGCCAAGCCATGCACTCAACGTTGTGTATGTATTATGTAATTTAGAGGAAGAACAAAGAGCTGTTAGGTCCCCTGACTCCCAGGTCTCCTTACATTGTTGAAATCATCCTTGGGAAAGTAAATAAGTAAAACAAAACAAAACAAAACAAAACATTCTGTGCATTGCTGTCTTGCTGCAGCAAAGATTCCGTGTCTAATTAAAAGTTGAGTGCCTACTGTGAGTCCCAAAATAGGATTTAGAAATGGCATTGATGTGGCAGGAAGAATAGATGTAAAATGCTAGTAAGCACGTAGTGTGTTATGTAATTAGATAGTGGCTTATATACGGTGGACCCCATTATAGGATTTCAAGGGGCAGAAAAGATAATTAAGAACAGAGGGGCATCTTGAAGGAAACCCTGAAGAATGGTTAGACTCGTTCTGTCCAATAGAAATAGATGTCAGCCACAGGTGTGATTAAAAATGCTCTGGTAGCCACGTCTAAAAAAGTAAAAAGAAACAGGTGAAATTAATTTAAATAATATCTATATATATTTTTAACCCCATACATCTAATATGTGTTATATCAACAGGTAATGAAAGTAAAATGTTCAGTTTTTTCCATCATTTTTTGATAGCAAGTCTTTGAAATCCCATGTGTACTGTATGTGTGCAGCATGTCTCCGGTCGGGCCAGTGGCATTTCAAGAGCTCAGGAGCCACAGGTAGCCAGCGCGGCATGCTGGACAGAGCAGGGTTAGACTTGGGGAGAGTCGAGGGGGAGAGCATTTCGGGCCGAGGTGGGGAGGAGCTGGTGGTGGAAATACACAGCGATGATGCGGGAGGTTGAGGAACCTCGGGCACTGAGGATTGGGTGCTGGAACCCTGGCCCTGAGGGCATCCGCAGTGTCAGAGCAGTGACCAAAGTGGTGTGTAGGCCAGGGGTAAGGGCAGGACAGCGAGTTGGACTTCAGGATCATGGGGGAGGTGAGGAGAGGTGGCCTGACCGATAGGAGCTGAGGCAGGTTGGGGCCAGATCAGAAAGGGCCTTGTTTGCCGGAGTTGGAAGCTCAGATCTTATCCTGCAGGTGAGGGGGCCCACTGAAGAATTCCAGTAATATTCAAGCACTGCCTCTCTGCCGGCAGGACCAGGATAAATGGACGGGGCCAGTGGGAAGGCAGGGAGACACTGAGAAGACTGGTGACGAAGGAACAGACAGGGGCTGGGGCCACGAAGGACCCTGTGGCAGAACAAGCGATTCTCAGGGAGGAATGAACATGAGGTTTGCAGAAGCTGGGCGAGGAGTGATTAATCTGAAGGAGAAGAGGTTTGGGCTCAGGGGCCACAGGCCAGTCAAATCTAGTGACACCAGGGTTCAGACCAAATATCTGGAACCAGAGAGGAGAGAACAGTTGCTCACAGAGGCTCTATATGCCCATAGAGCAAAATTGAACATTTTGACATTTCCTTTTGTGCATCTGTTGCTTTAAGTAGGGACAAGTTCACTTACAATTTTAAACGTTGCCTTTTAAGCTTACTTTTAGCATTTCCCCATGTTTTGTTCCTTTTATTTTTATTAACTACAGATGTTTGTTGAGGCGATGTACCATAA